CTCCGATCCCAGGATTCGGGGCGGGTGTGACTCCGATCCCAGGATTCAGGGTGGAAGTTATTCCAATCCCAGGATTCAGGGTGGAAGTTATTCCAATCCCAGGATTTGGGGCGGGAGTGACTCCGCCGCCGGGCTCACTCACTCGTCAGTCCTGTAGAGCGCGAGGGCGTGGCCGGTGAAGTCGATGACGTCCTGGCCCAGGTCGAACTTCTTGTAGACGTCCCTCATGGTGGTTTTCTTGGGGTCGACGCCCTCGAAGGTCTTGGGGTCGTTCTCGTCAAAGTTGGCCACGTACACCAGGAACTTCCGGAACCGGCGCTTCTCAAACAGCCCCATTAAGCCTGAAAAATGAGGGGTTTGCTCAGAACTCTTGGAGACACCACGGGGCTTTTCCATGGCCACACAGGGGGGAAGAACCGCTGAGGGTTTCACACGTGGAATCATGGAATGGTTTGGGTTGGAAGGGACCTTAAAGACCATCTGGTTCTGACCCCAGGGACACCTCCCACTAGCCCAGGTTGCTCCAACCTGGCCTTGGACACTCCCAGGGATCCAGGGGCAGCCACAGCTTCTCTGGGAAATCCATTCTAGTCCCTCCCCACCCTCCCAGCCAGCAATTCCTTCCCAATATCCCATCTAACCCTCCTTGAGCTTAAGCCCATCCCCCTTGTCCCATCACTTCCAACCTCAAACACGACACTGGTCAGGGCACTTTATAATTTTTCCACAAACTGGGAGGCGAGACTGGACTTGCTGGAGCAGGAGGGCAGAGGCAGCACCCCCTGCTCCTGCCAGGATGAGTCTCTTGGGAGATCAAACAGGAATATCTGCCATGGACAAGGCTCAGACCTCCAGACCCGGAGCCTTGACTGCAGGATTCACTTTATCCCGAGGCTTTTTAGAGATGCCACTGAACACATCCCACACCTGGAGCTCCTGGAATGCCCTCCACCAGCTCCTAAAGGATTTCCTGAGCTGCTGTGAACGAGCAGCGGTTTTAAAGGAAGAGGGGTGAAATTTAAGCAGGCAACAATTAAGGTTTTGAATTGTAATTAGTCCCTCCAGTTTGCCGGGGACGTTTTTCCACACGCACAATTCCAACAAGGATCCAACGTTAAGCTGGGAGCACAAATCCCAGAGGTAAAAACCTCTTATTCCACCAGATTCTCACCAGATGGGCCACCAGAACAGGCAGCTCCGTTGGGAAGCTCCAAGAAAAACCTGTCACTCAAGGCTCAGGAAGCCCAAGGCTCCAACTCCCAAGTGGTGTTTAAAGTCAAAGAGGTGCAGGAGAACCCTGAGGATGCTCCTTAAAACACGAGGAGCACCAAGAACATCCCGAGATGTGGGGTTTGCCTCCGTTCAGGAGGACACAAAGAAGGTGCAGCTACTCACTGGACGCCAGAGCTTCTGCCTCGGTGGAGGGGACTTTGTAGATCTTCCCCCCCTTGTAGACGAAGCTGCCCTCGATCACCTTGAAGTCCAAGTAACGAGTCACTTCTGTGTAGAGCAGCATCTTCACCAACTGACCTGCAGGAGGGTTTGGCAGGGGTCAGACAGAGGGGCTGGAGCCAGAGTTGCTCCCAGGGCAGCCCTTCCAAACCCTTCCACGCCAACCAGGATTTCACACCAAATGAGTCTCAAAGGCAGGAATTAAACCACAGCAAAAGTTCCAGTCGCTGCCCTGGCTGTCAGCTGATTTCCTGCCTCCATTTAACTTCAAAGCAGCTCCATCTTCCCAGGGATGCACACAGCGAGCCTCTATCCCTTCCCCAGGTTGGATTTGGGTACCAGCAGGAGATGTAAGAGCCCTTAAGTACCTCCTCCATCTTCTTTCCTAGCCATTAAACACCCCCACGGGCACTGAGGTGGAGATATCCCGCTCCTATTTCATCCAAGGCTCGTTTAACACGTCCCTTCCATCACCCAGAGCGCTGGAATCCCACACGGGCCTCTCACGAGCCATAAAACGCACGGGGGGTGCACAATGGATTCATCCTCCCGGAGCTGAGCTGGGACCAGAGCGACCAGGCCTTGCCTGGGATCTCTATAACCCTGAGCCTGAGACTGGCACCACACAAGACATCCATGCCCTCGGGCCTCAGGGATGAGATTCCAGCAAAAAGGGGTTGGGTTTTGGCCAAGGGACATCCGGGAGCCCGGGATCACTCACCGTTAGCCATCAGGAATTTCGGAATGAGGTCCACGTTCCAGTCTCTTCCCCGCCCCATGGATTCTGGTGGAGTCCCCGGGAGATTAAACCTTTTGTAGAGCTTTGGAGAGAGAGAGAGAGAGAGAGAGAACACAGAACTTATTGTGGCTCCCTGGGTGTCGCTTCTCCCACACATGGACACACTTTCCACCCCCACAGCTCCCGGATGAACACAAGCCCTTCAGAGCCGGTTTTTGGCCGGAGTTTCAGCTCCAGTTTGACTTCTGATGCATCCAGGAAGTTGGGACAGTGAGAACCAGGCAGAGTTATTCTGCTCTTCCAGTCTTCCTTCCTCCAAGGCTTAAAGTTTGGGAATTTAAAACCCGAGGAAGTGAAATACTGTGTAATGTGAGGTATCTTAGTCAATATTTACAGTTTAGTTGGGGTTCTAACACCCAGCTGTTGGGCATTGCAGCTCTGGAGTGCTCCAC